AGGAAGGCTCTGGAGACCAGCGGCTGGTATTGACTGGGTTTTCTAGGAGAGGGATTTTTTAGGGAAATGAACTCTTTTGATATGCAGCGTTCTTTCCAGAGGACCTGTCTGGGTGGAATTTATCCAGGCAGTTCATACACACGGTGACAGCAAGGCATTTCGTTAGGGGAAGAGTGAAAGCTGTAGCTCTGACAGATAACTCTGGGAGGGTGTATGTGGTTTTGTGCCTTTAGATTCTTTTCTTAATTTAAAGAATGTTTTATAATTTAATACATGCATATTACATTTTTTAAATATGCCGTGAAAAATCACCTTGCCTCCTACTCCTGACTTTCAGTTCCCCACTTTTCTCCCTAGAGAGAACCGCTGGTACATTTTCTTACAAATTCGTATGATTCAAACGTTTCATATGCACATTCAGACAGACTGCACACGCACCCCATGTGAGTTTTGAAAGGTGGTGCTTTCCTGAGTGTTTGGGAGTACAGCGGCTACTCAAAGGTTTGGAAGAAAAATCAGACGAGGTAGAAAGATGGTAGAGTCATGTCATTGGAATATTGATTCCTGAGCATGGAGTGAATTTGGGGGTTCACATAAACGGTACAAATTATTGCTCAGGGGAAAAATTAAAATCATATGTGTAGTTCAGTGGAGTTAATTCTATCTATAGAGACAGATTGTGTGAAAAATAAAATAGGACCTTGAATGTTCCGGTTATGCATATTCTAGGGAAATCTTTTGCAGTCTTTTCTTCTGTCTCTCAGCAAAGGCTGAGAGGGATTGGTGTGCTTGTGAGCGCTTCATCTTGGCCTCTGAGCAGCCAGTGTGGTCCACAAGAAAGCACGGACGTGGGCCTGGGAGCTGTTCCCAGAGACCCGCAGGTGCCCACCATCCCTGCCCCCAGCTGGAAAGCAGGCTGTTCGTGCAGGTGAGGGCCAGCATCCTAGTCCAGTCCTTAGGGTGAGCACCTCATCTGGTGGTAGCTCTTCGATGCACCTCCTGAGCTGGGCAGCAGGAGATACCCCAGCTGGTGACCTCAGGGCATTTGCATTAGGAGCCAGCAGGGTAACAGTTGAGAAGCTCACAGGTTCCCTGCCCCTCAGTGTTGTGTCCATGGCAGCTCCTGAGCAATGAAACCCCTTGTAAGGAAACCTGTTTAACTCAGTGTTTCCCAAACTGGTTGACCATTAATGCACCATCTTCCCCTACCTGCTAATACCTAGCGCTACAACTTCTCATAGCATTTTGGAAAACATCACCAGGGGAAAACGTAACTTTTTTTTGCAACTTTAAAAAATGCGTCTCTATATGTTTATTTGTACTATTTAAAATAATTTTAGCTCTGATCATTTAGAAACTGCAAGTTTCTACCCACATGACTGTCAGCCACCAATACTGCTTTCAGCTTCAAGGAGCAGCGTAGAAGCACTTACTGGAGATGCTTGAAATCTGCCTTAGTTCTCAGCCACTTCCTGGCTTTGTGTCTGGTCAGATTCCTTAACCTCTGTAAACCTCAGTTTCTCTGAAAATGGTGGTCTATTAATTCTTACTTTAGGGTCATTGCAGACACTCAATGAGTTGACTCACGTAAAACACGTGGTGCATAGTAAGCGCTCAGAAAACACTTTTTTATTCGTGAGCTGCATGCAGATTGGCTGTTCAACAGAGTCTGTAGACTCTTGTCTGGGGCATAGATGCCATCAAGATTTGATTAAACTTGAGAAAATTACAGTTGAGTTTTCTAGGGCTGCCGTAGCAAAGTACCACCAGCTAAATGACTTAAACAACAGAAATATGTTATCTCAGTCCTGGAGGCCAGGAGGGTGTCGGCAGGTTTGGTTCCTTCCCAGGGCTGTGAGGGGGAGTCTGTTGCATCCTGTCCCCTGGCTTCCTGTGGTTTGCTGGCAACCTCTGGTGTTCCTTGGCTTGCAGTCACGGCACCCCTGTCTCTGTCTTCACATCCCTGTGGGGTTCTGCCTGTGTTCTCATCTGTGTTCAAGTTTCCTCTTTTTCTAAGGACACCAGTCCTACTGGATTAGGGCCCACCCTAACCTGCAGTGTGACCTCATCGAAACGCATCACACCTTCAATGACCCTATTTCCAAATAAGGTCACCTTCTCAGGTCCTGGGGGTTGGGACTTGGACATAGGAATATTTGGGGGAACAGTTCAACCCACAACACTGATAATGAGGTCAATCCCACTAAGAACTTATACGAGAAAAGAGATCTGGTTTAATATTCAGTTCTGGGATTTTGTACTAGTTTTTTGTTTTTCTTGGAATAGCCTTTTTTTTTTTTACCCCCAGTCACCTTTATTAAGGTTGAATTACATACAACAAAATGCATCCATTTGAAGTGTACAGTTCAGTGAATTTTGACAAGCGTGTACGCCTATGTAACCACCACCCCAGTCAAGATATAGATCATTTCCATCATCCTGGAAAGTCTCCTCCTTTCCCACCCCAGTCGGCCCCCTGCCGTAGCCTGGCCCCTAGGCACTCACTCCTGGTTTGCTTCCTGCCCCTGTGGATTAGTTATAGTTGTGCCTTTTCTAGCATTTCATATAAGTGAAATTTTACAGTATGTATATATATTCTTCTGTGCTGGCTTTTTTGCTTGTGTCTGCTTTTAAAGTGAACCATGATTCCCCAGGAATCTAGAAGCTTTTCATAACTATAAATCCAGCCCTTAGAATCCTGTAGCCAGATGGAGTGCAGTTTTGATAGATCTTTTAAAAAACATTGATTATTTCCTAATTATGCCTGTGGTCCTGTATTAGATACCTTATGCTCTCATGAAACCCTCAGATCAGCCTTGTGAGGTAAGTTTTCTTTTCTTCATTTATAAAAGAGGCAATTTCTTAGGGCATTTTGTGGGGTTTTTGTTTGTTTTGTCTTTGATTAACTGCTACCTGGAAAATGTGTTTAGTTGAGAGGAGCTGAACATCAGAATGTTGGAATATGGCTGTAATGGTATTTTAGTGAAGTGTCACAAGTTCTTTGTAAAGATTAAACAAGACAGTGTGAGTTAAGTGTAGAGTGTAAAGCCTGGCACACTTGGGGCCAGGGCCCCTCAAGTGCTACTTGTCACTCTAGTTCTTAGTGGGCTCGGGCTGTCCCAGCTGGAGCCCCTCTGTGAAAACCCAGGCCCACATTGTTCACCCTTTAGGGTCCTGGAAGGGCTCCCCTCCTCCAGGGAGGGGTGGGTCTGGCAGAGGGAAGGTGGTCCTCTCCTCCCCTTCCCTCCTCTGCCAGCAGCACTGCCTTTTTCTGCTTTTCAACTGCAATTAAAGTGTAAGCTTTCTTCTGAAAAGTAGAAGTTCCCTGTGAACAAATGAGGGTGCTCCCCTGAAGCTCCAGCCTCCTCATTTGACGGCAGGAGAAGGCTTTGCGCCTTCAGGCAGCAGGAACACTCGAACCCAGCTCTCCAAACTTCCAGCCTGTAGGTAACTAAAACAGGGGCGATGCCAGCCCGGCACTGAGATGTCGTGATGTTGTGCGAGTTCAGAACAGGGACTGCCTTATCCATCTCGGCATTTCAGGGCCAGCCAGGCTGGTGTAAATGGTTACAGGCATGTATATGGAAAGTTACCCACCTTACTCATCTTACTCCTTGTCTGGGATATATTAAACATTTTAGAACTGAAATATGGAACCGGTTGGCACCATCTTTTCAGCAGTTAATTTTATTTTTGTTTTTTTAGTTCTAATTTGTCCTATTTTCCTCATTCCTTCCCCTTCATATCCCATTTGAAATAATGTGTGAATTAAGGTCAATTAGCTTGTGTGTTGACATCTACCTCCAACAAAATCTCTGAATTATCTTCGTATCCATCTTGAAGAGGTAGTAATTTCAGCTTAAGTGGCAATTCCAAAGCAAAGAATTATACTTAATAACCTTCACGGGGGTATGTGAGGTCTTCTGTTGTGGCGCCTGAACAAACATTCTTTGTCATCAGTAATTTAGGTGGGCTCTCATGTGACTTCCACGTGGCATCACAAGGTGCCACAGAGCTCAAGCTCTCTCCGGGGAGACAGCAGAGGGAAGAGAGCTGGCACTGACGCCAGGCGCACTGGGCGCTTCCCAGCTGTGGACCCAGAGCAAGGCCTTGAGCCTCAGTTTCCCTTTTTTGGGAAACAGTCACAAGCTAGCTCTTTTCCATCCTGGAGTTCATTTGCTATTTATTATCAAAATATTGATATGCAAATTGTGCTTTAGAGCTGCGAGCACAAGCATGGTCCCGTGTTGCGGAATTGACATTAATTTCGCTAGGCGTCTGTCAGAGTCGGTGAGGACATATTCATGCTAACTGGACAGGTACAATGAGTAGGCGTCTGCCGGAGGTGTCTCAGTAAGACTGAACTGAGTTGATTTTGACGCTGCTTTTCGGATTTTTCGGTTTACAGTAACAATTGGCAGCAATTGGCTCTGAGTGTATAGACTTTTACCTGAAACAGCCATAGTCCCGCTCCACGATTTTTTTTTTTACATTTCAAGTATGCTGATTTCTTACCTCCTCTTGTCTCCTTCATCCAACTAAATATCTTAGTGCAACCGAATATAGCTTTAGAGAGAGAAGTGGTAATCACTGCTTAATTTAATTTCCATATTCCAACTACGTGCAACAGGATATATCAAGCACATTATTAGCAGATAAAATAATTCCAGTGATGGAATTTATTTTGAGTCTTTGTGGCTGTAAATGGTTGTGTGACTATTAAGAGATCATCTCCCCAAATGGTGATAAACAGGCTAGAAAGTTAAGTGTCGCGATGACTAACTTCATTTGATTACCTTTTAGTTTAGGATTTCCCTTAGAGGGCCAGCGTGTTTTTTAAATGTAAAGATTTAGAATATCTATTTGTTTTAACATGGCACTTCCCCAAACGATACTGGACTGACTGACAAACCACTCCGTGCCTCAGTTTCCCCAAAGCAGTTGATATTTTAACCTCACTCTCATGTCAGACTCATCTTCCCCTTATTTGTCTTACAAAGGGGAGGCACGCTCTCTGTTTCTGAGGGTACGTCCATCCACGTGGACATTCTCCGGGCTGTGGCTGACTAAGACCCTCAGCAGAGTTCGGCGTTCCTGAAGACATGGGAAAAGCAGTATTTGGGGATTTAACGTCATTGTGAAAGTCAGGCAAGTTTTCGTTCACCTGCTGTCTTCACTGAGCTCGAAGTTGTACTTAAACCGATTTGAGAATAAAGTAGTAAAATTAACAAAGTAGTAAAAATAAAAATAAAATAAAAGTAGGGAAAAAAAGGAATGTACTGCTTATTATTCTTGGGAGTTAATGACATCAGAAGTTCATTGATAGATGTTAACGTATATTGGATAATATATATATTCTCTTTTCTCGGTAGGAAAGATAACAAGTCTCTTGGTGTTTGTGTAGTGTACAGCGCAGTGTAAAGTAAGCTGGGACCTCGCAGCCAGTTCAGAACTCCTGGAAAAAGGACTAGGAACGGTTGTAGGAGCGACCGATGTGTGGATGGGTATTTTGTGAGTATCTCTTAACAATAATCATCAAATCCTTTAGAAATAGCAGTTATCATCTGTAAAATTTTTAAAACCATCGTTAAAAATAATAGCTTACCAAAAAATAGCTTACAGTAGGGAGGGTACAGATCAGTGGTGGAGCACATGCTTAGCATGCATGAGGTCCTGGTTCCATCCCCAGTACCTCTGTTAAAAAAAGAAGAGCTTACATTCTTTTTAAGGTTATACTCCAGGCACTGGATAAGTGCTTTTCATAACCTGTCTACTCTTTTACATGAATTATTGAATTTCCACAATAATCACGAAAAGCATTATTACTTTCTTAAAGATGGGGAAACTGAGGCACGGAGTGGTTAGATCACACAGGCGGCACGTGATGGAGGCAGGACTGAAGCCCAGGGCTCTGGCCCTGCAGCTCTCCGGTCCGTTCTGCCTCTGTCTGCCATTGCTGATGTGTTGCAAATACTTTTCCAAATAGAATTATAAAGAGTAGCTGTCTGTTCATAAGATTATACCATAAAATATTTCACTTCATTTAAAAATGTTATGCTCTTATTACCAAGTAAACGTCCGCCTGAGTTAATCATAACGTTTCTCACAGCCTTGGTGTGTAAATAACGTGCAGCTGTATCTTGCTCTGTTCCGTTCCCTGGGTTAGTGTTTTGTTTCTCTTTCTGCTCTTAGTCTCTATACAAATTCTCTCTCAAATGGTTTCTCGCACCTTGCATGGTTAGTGGAGAGAAGGGAGGGAAGCCTCTGTGAAGGGAGATGGAAGATGGGGAGCCGTGGTGCACCCACCTCTCACAGCCTCTCCTGGAATTCAGTACTCAGTGATTCAGATACTCAGTTTTATTAGTGCCCCGTCAGTGTCAGGCTCGGTGCCATGACTGTGAACGAAACCCTGCTCCGGTCTCCGCGGACGCCGCAGTCTGGCTGAGTTCCAGGGGTGACGCTGAGCACATCGCATTTGTGAAACTCTTCACCCCAGACTGGGACGTGGTGGCATTTGACTTTCTTCTCTGGTCCGGCCTGCCCCACCCCACCCAGAGTCGGGACCTTGGAACTGCAGGGGCCCAGGGTCAGCCCCCAGGGCAACTGGCCACCGTGTCATTATAATGTAAACCTCAGCAATACCACCGCCGCGCACGCCCTGCTTCTCAGAACGCGGACTGCTCGCTGCCGGGGTTCCTCCCCGCGCCGTGTTTTTATGGTAGTGGCAGGCTTCTGTCTTCTCGGGCAGTATTATGCCTCTGCGTTTCCCCCCACATCCCTGTCGCCTCATTCGTGTTTGGTTTTTTCCTTAATTGGCATTTGTGCCTATTAACACCACGAGACAGTGGGTTTTATTTTTTCTTTTTTATTTGATGGATGGGATGGGTCAATAACAAGTCAAAAAGTGTTTGAGGGCCACTGCCCTCAGGGAGAAATCACTGAGGTCACTGACTGGAAGGCCATCGGAGCTCTCAATTATGGAGCCTTGTGGACTCGCTTCATCACCATCCGTACTGTTTATTCATTTTCCACTGGGTGCAAAAATTAAAAAGTCTTTCATTAGGTGCTGTGGGGAGTTGGTAGGAGAAATAACTGGGTAGTGCTTACCCCCCTGACTTCGTTCTGCTTGTGACTGTAGGCTTGCATAGGTGCCTGTGACCTTCCGTCGTCCGGGCTAGAACTGTTGACCTGGGAGCTCATTTATCGGGCGACTATCCATCAGCATCAAGCATCTATTTACATGGTTCTCCAAAAACTAGGCTTCGTGCCCACGATCTTCAGAAGGAAGCAGTACAGAGAGGGATCATTCAGCTTGGTTATCGAGGAGGCCACAGCAAATTGCAAGACCCAGAGAACCCTTTAAACCCTCCCCACAGAGCTCTCTCATGGGCACCCACTTAGAGAGATCGGGTGAGGTTCGACGGCAGACGGAACAAGAGGACCTGTGGGCCACAGCCGGGCATTAGAAACTGACCTCCTGAGTAGATAAGTGGACAGGTGGCTGGGGAGTGAGAAGATAAAGCTAGTCCGATCCACTCCACTCCACTCCCCCATCACACATGCTTTTCCTCTGTCTCTTCCTGTCTCTCCTGAATTTCCCTTTCCATCAGCTTCTCTTCCCGTCTCTCTCCCACATCACTGGCCTTTTCTCCCTTCCTGCCCCTCTTCCGACCCTTCTTCTTAGGCTCTGTTTTCGGGCTATTTTCTGTCCTTTTCCTGCTGCCCTAGTAGCGACCACTTTTCCCCTTAGATGAAATTTCATTACCCCCCCCCCAGCATTGTTGTGGCATCATATAACTATGTCTTGTGGTTAAATAACCAGTTAATAAAATTAAGCCGGGGCTTTTAAGACTACTAAAGGCATTCTGCCGCACATTTTGCTTCCTTACGTGGAAATGGTCCAGTGCAGTGTTATCTGCTGCTTCAGGCAAATCAAAGGGCTCGTTTAAAAATTCGGTCCAAGTCCTAGTGGGTCTGGATTGCCCCAAACTGAGGCAATTTCAGAGGCGAGAATGTAGGCGTAGAGCCTGGAATCTTTTGCTTCTGATTTTTCAATCAACTACTTTATGACCTTGGGCAGCTTAGGGCAATCTGAATACTCCTGCTTGGGTTTTCCTTCTTTACAAAAGGTGGTATTGGCCTTGCCCTCTCCCTCTCTGGACCTTTTAGAAGGCTGACGGGTTAAGATTGTCAGAGGTCTTCGGCGTTCTGAGATCTCAGAGATAACTAACTGCTTCATGTGCATAAGGCACTATGTGAATTCCAGGTATGATTTTCTTTTTCTACTCCGTTTCCATTTCTGTACCAAACTTTTCTTCCCAGTCAGGTTGATCTTTAAAAAGTGAGTTTGTTTTTAAACTCTTGTTGGTAATTATTTTAAGATACTTCTCCAAGAACACAGATGTCTCCTCTTTTACGGTAAGAAAACTGTAAGGAATTGCTCGTTGCAATAAAATACGGAGGGATGGTGACCGCCTCGCTGCTGCCTTTGCTGCCCATTTGCTTCCTTGCGAGGTTGTGCCTTCAGTGCTATCTCCTCATCCATCTGCCCCTAAGCAGGAGATTTCATCAATGAACGCGCCCTCTAAAACTCCCCAGGAGACACGGCTGCTGGGCGCATGCTAGGGCTGGCGGTTCAGCTGTCGTGCCTCCCATGGTCGCCGGCAGATCCGGCTTGAACCCCGTCTTAAGGAGCAGAGCCAGAGTAGCCCATGGACTCACCTCTGCTCTTACTTAACGCCGGTTCCCACTGGCAGCTCCAGTGGGAATAATGTAACCAAGAACCGGGATGAGCCAAACAGCCGGAAGAGAACCAGCTAACCTCTTCTGCGGCTGCAGCTTCTGCCTAGCGCAAGATGTCACCCGGGAGAAGCGTTTTCGGCAAACCGCTGGACCCCTGGCAGGCCTGTCACCAGGACACGCCTGAAACTTTGAGGCTGCTACTCTCAGTTGCCCTGATTTTTAAAAATTACCCAATACGTCTTTTTGAAAAGATGGCACGAATTCTGCTTACAAGAGAGTCTCACTTTATTAAAAAAGCATTAGTTTTCTGTGACTAGAATAGATTTTTCTATTCTGTAAGGGAACCGCAAATAAGCTGCTCTCAGACCACTCTAGTATTTTAAAACAGGGAAAGATACAAATATGTAACAATACTCTAGTGAAATAGCACTACATAAAAAATCTCTGTGAAGTAGCCATTCTGCTCATTAAGCACCATATTTTATTGGCCATTTCCTCCTGTCAAGGAAGGCAAATAAAAGGGAAATAAAAAGCGGTAGTGATTAAAATTTAATCTTCCTAATCAGCTAGAGAAATGCTGTGATTGTTAAGAAATCTCTCTGTGTTGGCTTCTTTTTCTTTTCTTTTCTCTTTCTTTCTTTTTTCCACTCATACTTTTGGAATGACTTTCATTTCATGACCAGTTCTTCTTTCTTTCAAAACAATTTTGAATTCCAATTCTGCCCTCCTAGAATGCTAACTTTCTTAAGGCGTTTGAATCTCAATGGTTTATATTTTTAAAAATCATAGAATTTATTTTAAAAATCAGAACTTAAAAAAAGCGTTATAGGCCAGCTGTTTCAACTGCGTGTTATAAATGGGAAAACTGAAGTGAGAGATGAAATAATTTGCCAAGGCCACCTAACTCATCAGGGCCATGGCTCAGGCTAAAACTTGGGGTTCCACTCTGTCACATCCTCAGAAAAACTCTGAATTTGGAAATGATCTATGTCAACGCTGTTAGAAACACTGTCACTGGTTCCCTCTTTAAAAGGTTATTGGGTCAAAAGTTAGGAGTCCAATCCTTATAATGTGGAATTACTAAGTATAGATACGTCTGATTTAAAAATAATGTACTCTGGATTCATAAAACCAAGGGTGGTTTATTCTTTACAGCTCCAAAGTATTGTTTGTCCTTCAAATGATTTCGCTTACGATTGTCAATAAGTAGTTCTCATGACATTTAAAGCATAATTTGATTTAACTTTCTTATTTACATAGGAATCTCTTGTCACCAGGAATTCTCTGTGCATGAGGTTAATTCGCAAAAGAGACCCTCAGCTCCCTGAATTGTTCACATCCATGGTGCCTCAGCCCGGCACCGAATAGACTAGCCAGCCAGTCTTTTCTCAGCGAATGAACAAGTGAGCAAATGAAATTTTTGAACACACACATTATGTATGTGAGAGTACGTCAGCGCACTTATAAACTAGAGTCTTAATCTTTTATTTTTTAATGCAGAAAGGCCAGGCATATAGGCATCTAAGAATCTTTAAGAGGAGATTCTCTGGGATTCAGTTAAGGTCAGAAGGGACGCACTTAGTTTTTGACACTCTGCGGGACAAGGAATTTTTATGACCACATCCAAGCAATCCGTCAGTCAGGTTTACTGTTAATTTAGAGGCAGACGTTTCCTGGAGTGAACATCTAGGACTTACAGTTAGAGGAGTAGGTGAAATGCCAGTTCCCCGCTGGGGAAATGGAGGCGGGGTGGGGAGGGGTGAGTGTCC